CATGGAGCAGCCTATGTCAAATGCACCATTTGATTGTCTTCATTACAGAATACTGTGGCAGTGTGGCTCTGTTTATTCTCCCCTAAGCTCTCTTCTTTACTTCAGAATCTGTTTTGAGCAAGGAAGGGTGGAAGTTACAGGACGGACGTTAAGTAAGTGCAGAGCTTCCAACCTCAACAGCAACATTGTCTTTAAAAAACCGTGCTGGGTGGGGGAGGTTACAATTTACAGTATGGGGAAGACTACACCTTCTCAAACAGTCTCCATAACCCCATGTCTTATTTTTGGTCAAGCTTTGATGTAGCTCTCTGCCTCTGAGCTCATGCTCTGTTAGTATTGCCATACGGTACACTATCACAATTATATGACTGTTCTGGTCTCATTTCCTCCCTTTGCACAATATTAAATAATGAAAGATAAGATATGAACTCTCGTTTTGCACATTAAGGGCTATCTTCAATAAAATGTCAGTGCTTGCCTCTCAGCTACCCTTCGGAGAATTACAGAAGCATAAAACTGGCACAGAGGAATGGTGAATCAGGTTCTCAGCCTGATTTCCAGCCCTTCTGCAGTTTATTTAAAATAGTCCTGAAGAAAGATGTTCTGCGTCACACTAATGTTAAATTGGTTTAGCAATACGGTGCATATCTTTTCACAAGCCATTCAGGGAAGGGACTGGAAATACAGTATTTCACACACAGTTCGGCTGTTCGCTTATACAACATGAAGCTATTTAGTACAAAATGTTTTTCTGGTTTAGTGCAAATATTTTCAACAGTGACATCAAAAAGTAAGAAGATACAATATAACATTTCAAATAGGATAGGTAAGGTATGGAAAATCATTTCCCTCAAGTAGTTTCAGAGACGTAATGCTGAAGTACTTCAAGGCTATTTCTGAATAGGTAATATTCTGTGATTATTTTTTTTAAAGACAATTAAACTTGGGTTTTTTTATCAGTCAATTCCAAAAGAAACCATGTGTTTTTTTTAGAATTATGTTAGTTAGGAGATGCTATGTATTAGGGGTATGCAAAGCTTTGGTCACTGATTTGATTCAGAGAAGATTCGGCTCGATTCGGAGGCTGAATCGCTGAATCTGAATTGAATCAGGAGACCAAAAAAACCCTCTGAATTGATTCAGAGCCTCTGAATCAATTCAGAGATTTGGAAGACAGTCTTTCAGGGATACAGAAATGGAGAAGATGGAGGGGGAGCAGGAGAGGAAAGACTGACATCTCTAGCTGGCCAGTGACTATGATCTTTCCCTGAGTTCCCTTCCACAGTGCTTTGGGGGAGGGACGTAGAAACAGCATATGAGCCTCTGTCTGCAGCCTTTCCGAAACTTTTGTGAGCTGTTTCAGTCTTAGCACTGGGAAGGCCCCCTGTTACAAGCTCTGCTGTTTTAATCCTGCTGCACCTTAACACACACACACAGTCACACGTCACAAGTTTTGCTTATCAGCACCTTGAGGTGCAGTTTCCCAGAAACACCTGCACCCATCTCCTTGAAACTTGGCAGGTGTCATGCCCTCAGAAGGGGCTACCATCTCTGCTGTTTTCATCTAAATCTGCCAAAAAATGACAAAGTTATAGGTATTTCAGTGATTCCCCATTATAGTCTACGGCTGAATTACCAAATCTCTCCGAATCAGCGTTGAATCTTCCAAAGCAGACTTGGCTGAATTGATTCAGGTCAGTGATCCAAATCTCCGAATCAAATCACTGTCCTCAGAATCAGCTGAATCTGATTTGAATACTTCCCTATTTGCACAGGCTTACTATGTATCTACTCCCATGTGGATGTGTCTAGATGAGATGATACAAGTGCAGTAGATGAATTTTACTGTGCATTAGCACATCACAGCGAAAGCCATGCTAATGTGCTAATGGAAAGTAGAATTAGTCTATTGCACATTAGCATCACATAAAAAATGTACAATGGAGCTATTGCGCAGTAATGCCAATTACGATAATAACAGGTACTAACCTTAATGCACTGTAATTACAGTGCATTAATGCACATGTAGACATGCCCTGTATCTATTGGTTTTAAATCACTCAAGGCTTTATTCATTCAACCTTATGTTCCTCTCAACATAGTCTGATGGTGTCTGGCAGAAAGTCACAAAATAAATGATAGCAAAAAGTTATCTTATTAGTTTATTCACTCACTTGCACCTATTGGAACCGACTTTCAAAAGAGTTTGGTGACTAATGTCTCCCAATGAAAATGACATGAGTAGCTGGGAACTAAACATTTTTTAAAATCTGGCCATGTGTGGAGGTGCTGAGCCTTTCTGAAATCCTGGCCTATAGATGCTGCCTTCTAGATAATCAAATGCATCATTTGACAAGTACTAACAACACGCTTAAATCAAAATCCCAGATTGGAATAACCCCTAAACTCTGGAGAAGTTTGAATCCAGGAGCTGGTACTGCAGCATGATCTCATTGTTAGTGAATACTCAGCATATTCTGTCTAAATGACTTGGTGAGGTATTTGGTTTTTAACAAAGTCTTACTGAGCAATAATACTTAGGGCCTGATTCTTTTTTCTCTTACACCAGGCACAAACTAGGTAGAAGATTGAGCTACCTGGAATAAACCTAGCATACATGAAGTAAGAACCAAGTCCCATGCAGTCTCAGACTTGCCTATTTTGACTCTCTGCACTTAGGAACCACCTAGCCACAAAGAATTAAAAGACTTCCAACTGACCAGCCTACTGGATATGAAAACAATAACTGTGATTTTTATTTACCATTTTTTCCTCAGTATCCAAACTTGTGAACCTTTTGTGATAAACGAAGCCAAAACATACTAGAAATATATTATCAATCCACCCTTTCTTTGGGCCTGATTCTGAAATCACAAGAGTCAAAATAATGGATGCCTGTAGATGTGTGGGGAGGCTGCTCCAATACATTATAATTACTAAGTTGGAGCAGACTTGATTAATCTCGTCTGCTGGAGCATGCTAATTAGTGTGCTGCAGCCAGCCTTTGTGTCTTGTGTATCAGTGTCCCCATGCTTCAAAATGGCAGCAAGGGTGCTTCAACTAAAGGTTGTTCTATGAGTTTATCATGAAAGATCCACAAGTTTGGATACTGAGGAAATGGTCAAAAGTCACAGTTATTGCTTTCACATCCAGTTTGATGAATTTTAGTTAAAGCGCTTCCACCCACGTTTTGAAGCGCAGGAACGCTGATACATGAGATGCTGTGGGCGCTTTAATGGCTCTGAGAGCCACTCTAATTACAGTACCCCCCAAACCCTCAAAGCACAGGTAAAAACACCCCAAAATGCTTGCAATTGAAGCCAATGGCACTATATTAGGGTGAAGCCAGAATAAGATTGGGATGAGGCACTGTAAGTATTGTCCTGGGACAGAAAATTATTATTCATTATGAAGAACAACATACAGGCAGCAGAGAAATATAAAACAGTACCCAGGTTTAACACCAACAGTCTTGTAAGGGGGGGGGGCAGTGAAAGGATCACCTCCTGGGGTTCCTTTGACCTGGACAGAGCACCAAGCACAAATCTTGACAGTTCATTTTTGCATTCCTGAGTTATGCTTCTGCTCTGCGCAAGGTTATTACTGGGTTACAGAAGTCTAAGGGCTGCTCTAACTGATACGAGCTGCAAACAGTTGAAAGGGGATGAAAATGTACCAAGAAAGCAGCTGAGCAAGTTCAACCAACCCATTTGTTCCCAGATACAAAACATCATGGCAGCATGGAGGTGAAATGTATAAAAGCATCTGTCTGTACAAACAGAGGATCATTCTTCCTCTAGTGCTATTCTCCCGGGCTGGCTACATTAATGGGCAAAATTAAGAAAATGCTGGACAAGGCAGCTGTTAATAGGTCCAAGCCTAAAATTATGTCCTACCTACATCTGCATTTGAGCTGTAAGAGGTTGCAAATAATCCAAACATTTCATGTATCAAGCTTCTTTTCCTAGATTTTTATTTTTAAGAATATATTTTTGTACTGAAACATTTTCAGCATTCTTAATACATTTGAAAATGACACGGTCATTTCAATACTTCTGTAAAATAATAAAGGCAAAGCAAGACAGAAACATTTTATATCAAGAGTCAACTTGAAGTACAAACTGAGCCCAATTTACATATAAAGCCATACACCAGGAAAAAAGAAACTCTAAAAATAACATGTAGGTTCTGGTTTAATGTGTGTGTGCGCGTGTGTGTGTGTGTTGGGGGATGGGGTGAGGAATAATCATGGAAATTCGAAGTTAAGGCTAAAACTCCATTTTTAATCACACTGTATAGGTAGAGGTCTAATTCTGATTTCACTCATGCCAGGGAAAAATCACTCTCATTTTAGCCAATGAAGTTTAATTTCTACTAGAACAAGATGAGAATGAGGCCTCTAGGTTTTTAGTTTTTAGGGGACTAGATCCAAAGTGCAGTGAAAAGACTTTCATTGACTTTAGTGGACATTGGATTGGGGCCATAGGTAGGATTCTAGCTTGCTCCCTCTGACTTCCTGACTGAGGGTCATATCAGCTTAGAATAAAGGTAAAATTAATTGACTTACAATTTGAGGGGTATTGGTTGTAGCTGTGTTGGTCTAAGGACAAAGTCGGACAAGATTCTTTGGGTAAATCCAATATTTTTATTAGACCAACTAATAAGTTGGTCTAATAAAAGATATTAGATTTACCCAAAGACCCTTGTCTTGACTTACACTTGGTATTCTAGCCTTAACTCTTGATATTCCAGTTTTGGATAGATTAATCTAGGTCTTTATCGTAAGTTTAACATAGTTCCATCTGTGTCTGTCTGTCTTTCTCTCATGCTGTGCTATAAAAATGTCTTCATAATGTGTGTCTTAAAGTCCTTATAATACATGGTTTTAAATTGTCTACATTCATTTTTCTTTCTCAAACTATAACACCTCAAAAAGACCTATTATAGTCCATTGTGTAAAGCCAAGAGGAAAAAAAGTATACTTAGTTCTAAAGAAGCCATGAAAAGTTACTGTGTTTATTCATAGTGTTCACAAAAAACAATTACAGTGTTTATACAGTTATGTCTATTTATTTAAAAAGCTATTTGGAAAAGTTATTATTCATGTGCAGTAGCTGATTTTCAAGTGTTAGTAACTTGGCTGTCTAGACCAGTTTTCAATTTAGCATCAAGGACCAAATTATGGCCTTGGATATATGCAGAGAATTTCCCACCAACCCCCCAAAACGGCTAGTCCTATTTTGAACTAGTAGCCTGTAAAATGTAACTGTGTTCTTGAGTTTATAAAAGCACACTTAAACTTAATTTTTTCTAGTTAAGTTTGAAAAACAAATCCACCTTAGCTTGGACCTACCATTTACAGCGAAGTTATAAAGCCCTGAAAAACAGTTTCTAGTGAATACATGAACAGACCTTCACCATCAGTGGGCCTAGAGGACATCATTAGAATGTAATCAACTGTTCAATAAAAAAGTGACTCATTTCAAGAATATGTTACGTTTACCCAAAGAACCTAAGACGTGTACATTCAAAATGCTTATACTTTGCTGTTCTGAATGATCAGTAATCCCCTGATCATATTTACTAATAATACATACATGAGTATAAATAAATAAAACTACAGGTAAGCTTTAAAAATTGTATTAACATGACATGTGCAAAACTCTGAACAATCTACATTCTATGCAAATACCCTGACTAAAATATACAGACCCTATCCTGAAGCCCTTACACAGTTTTCGCATGGCCTAGAGGCCAGATCTTCCATAGGGGGTAGTCAGCATAATTCCACAGAAACAAATTAACTTCCACTGATTGCCCCAGCTGAAGATCTGGCTACTCCCTAGGGCAAAAATCCCATAGTAATCTATAGGAATTATGCTCAAGTAAGGATAGGAGGTTTGATTGTGCCCCATTGGCGTCAATGGGAGTTTTACTATTTTGATGTCAGTGGAAGCAGGCTCAGGTCCTGGATAAGGAGTTCATCATTTGGCCCTGTGTGGTGCTACACTAATCCACTTCAGTGCAGGTACAATATTTGTAAAAGAAAACTTTGTATGAGGGTGCATGTGTGTTTTAAATAGCTGTTCAATAACTGCTTTTAGCACTTTTCAGAAATTGCCTTTGTGTGAGAAGATTAATAGCTGCTGCAATTTAAAGACAGGATTGTAAGTCTTTCCAAATCCATTCTAATTTGATTATCCAGCATGGATGGGTTATTTTTTTGTTCCAAGAAAAATGGCTCAGTGTCTATTAATCAACAGCTTTCTTCATTAGGATAAACAACAGTTTCAATTCAGCAACTATTCTTTACTGCACACAGGAAACAAACAGTGAAGCCTGTCTATTACAGTTGTGTCCAGACCCAGCTGTCACTGATCTTCCAGACAGATGATGGCACATGAGCCAGTTTGGAATCTACAGTTTCTAACAAGTTCAGCCAAGTTTAGTAAGCTGAAGATCTCCATTTATCTTTATTGTGTCAATTGCTGACAATGTTTCAATACGATGGTAAAAATCAAAAAGCTGATGTCCATCCACAAATATTCTAAAACGGGGGTGCTCACAAAGAATTTCAACCTGGAAAAAAATAAAATGATGGTTCACAATGTAGTTGACACGCATTATTTCACAGGACAAAAGTGTAATTTGGTTGCTCTCTACTAAAACAACAGCCAATGGCACTTTTATGCATCGTTACACTGAGTCGGGCAGTGTGAGGGAGCCCCATTGTGAAATTATGCTCTGCCTGTTAACTCTGGCTCTGTGCACATTTTAGTGCATGTGCAACACAGCTCTTAGGCTCAAAACAGCTCACAAGAGGGGTGCTGGGTGTCTAATGGTGGCTTTATGATGCTTTTTTTGGCCCATGGTGCACAAAAGCAGGTGTAGGCAGGCCTGCGTGTTTTCACTGTGGTGCTCCCTAGGACTGCCTGATGCAGTGTAAATGTGCCCATTATTACTTAAGTACTATGTGCCAGTAAGAACGTAGCAGCCAAATTTTTCTTTCAGCTACATGGTTACAGAACTGAATTAGCTTTACAGAAGTTAGCAAAGTTACTCTAGACTTATACTGGCACAGCCAATGACAGATTGCAAATCAACCTTTTTCTTGTGATGCAGAAGTCACTCTTACTTACATGGAGCTCTTAGCTTGGAATACTGGCAGAACTGGGACCCATATAGTAACTAACATGTACGGAGACAGATCATGCCACCAAAAATCATGTGTTAAGCTCTACTCTCTCCTGTGAAGAGGGCAGTTGCCTCCACAGTGCTGTTTCTTCCTTCCTAGAATGCTCCTTGGTGTTAAAATCCATGCATCAAGACAGTTTAGGGATTAGGTGGACTGAGCCAGTCCTACACTGTATATGTGTGGAGGTCACATCAGCCTCCACATGGATTTCTTGGAAAGATAACCAAGGCCAAAGCTATATCAGCTTCTCTGTACAACCCTGTCCTGAGTAACTATTCACCTGAGCCAGCTTTGATCAGAGAATTCCTAGGAGCTAATCTTCATCAGAGCTGCCCTGCCAGGAAGCAGAGCTCTGAGGTTGCTGAGTACTAAGGGTGAGAGCACAGAGACTCAGCTACCAGAGATTCCCCAGGTCTGGGCTGATGACAGAGGGAGTCTGAAATCCTTGCTAAAAGGGTATGATCTTGCTCCCAGGGCATATCCACAGGTATTTGCAACTATTAACCCAGAAAGCTGGTGAACCAGGTCCTAACAGTACTTTCAGGAAGCCCCACTCTGTTCCTAGTGTGTTGTGTATTTACACCCAAGGATAGATTTTATTCTTGTGATAAATAAGCCTGGACTAACTGACTAGAATCACTAAAATGCCTCATTACATTCAGCTCCAGCGCTGAAGGTCCACTTTGAAAGTTACCATGAGCAATTCTGGTCTTTAATTTTAATTCAATTGAACCATCCATGTCATTGGATGGTTCTGCCAATAATCCATTTAATGTAGGGGAAGATGTTCAGAAACTACAAGTGTTAAATGGGTGCCTAACTTCCATTTGTGCCTTGGGAAAAATCCAAAGCATCTGGCATAAGGCACATGCTATTCATCTCTCTTAACATAAATCAGCATCAATAGGGTATGGGATTTAAAATGATAGGTCTAGACAAATTATTTGTCTACCTAGTCAAAGGACCAAGCCCTGATACTGCTAAAGTCAATAATAAAACTCTCATTTGTTTCCACTAAAGCTGAATCAGGCCATATACTCTTTCAAGTACATTTCCAGCTACACTTGCTCCAGTTGCCAGCTATTATGGGAGAGTTGGTAGGATCAAACCCACCACCTTTTTGGGGCTTCAGCAATATCAGAGGAGTTGTGTTAGATGCACCCTTCTATTCCCTAGCTATTTGAGGATACTTAGCTTTTGGGTTTGGGGAGATTACCTTGGGGCAGACAGGACTAAGTAGATTTGGCAGTCATTCAGAAATCTGACATTTATCATGGGGCCCAGAAGGATTTATAACATAGAAGCACAGGGGTGGTTTTTCTGGGTCAGCTGCCTGGAGAAGGCTGGCAGCCTTTCTTCTCCATGAACTTGGGTCACTGGTAACAAGGCTCCGTGCAGCTACACATGTTGCTGGCCCTGATTAGCAAAGACATCCTTCACAGGCCCACAAACACTAGAGATGGGAAACCTCTTTTAGGCCTCCAGAGTGCTGCTAATATTGCACTTACAGGACACTTTCAGACAGCTCTATTCTTACAGTTTGCAAGGCTATGTTGAACTCCAGGTTACTGAATTAAATATCATTTTATATAAAATTTATTGATGCAGTGGGCCAAAGCCAACCCGGGAATAACTCCAGAGGGGACAGAACTTACATCGTAATACTATAACTATCCAGCCCTCATTAACAATAAATTTACAACCACTGTGTCCAGAAAAAGAAAAGCTAAGAGTGTGACAATCACAAACAGTATTTAAATAGTAAGATCTTAAAACATCGCACTAATATAAGAATGTTTTTAATTGATAGCTATTAAAACCAGGCAGTGTACTTCATTACTAAGCATTATGATCTCCAGATTGTCATAATATTTGTCTTGTCAAATATTTGAAAGTCTGCCACACAGAATATGGAGAAATCTCCTCTCCCTTGCCAGGAAGGGCAGAAGATGAGGCAATAGGCTTAAGCTACAGCAAAGAAGATTTCATTCAAAGCTAAGAGAAACTTTCTAACTTTACAAGCATTTGGACAGTGAAACAAGCTGCTAAAGGAAGTTGTGGAATCTCCTTTATGGGGCGGGGTTCAAGAAGAAACTGTCTGGGCTAGGTTTAAAAGAGAGAATCCTGCATTTGCGTAAGGGCTTGGATCATCTCTGTGATGTTTTGTTGCTTATATAAATGCTATAAATTGCAAGTAACATTATGTGCATGAATATACACCACTTTTAATAGCTATTTTTGTATCTGTCATCCCAACAAAATAAATACGATTTCTCAACATGCAAGTCATATTGTGCTGCACCATCAAGTCAAAGGACTTCTTTTACAAGAGATGGATGTTGTTCTGCTGCTGGTACTCACCCTAAACGGCTGGTCTGGAATGAAGGGAAAGTATGGAATTGACGACTGTTCCTCCCCCCGTTCACCAGATACACAAGAGTTTCTAAGGAACTGCCTGTCTGGAAATACAGCTTTCAGTTCAATGGCTACATCTGCAGGAGGATCTTCTGAGTCCCCGCATGTGAGACTGATGTCAAAGCTGAAGCACGAATAAAACAGCTCTCATTCACCAGGAAATAAGCAAATAAATCCAAACTGCAGCACATCTGATTTCTAAACTCATTCAAAACAAGCACAGGTGAGCTTGGTCACAGGAAACAGCTAGTCCCAAAAGTTGACAGAAGGTAATGACACAAAATATATCCTACTCTCATTTTGTTCTCTAAACCTTGTCTTCCTTTACTACAAGGGATTATGTTGGAAAACAAGGATCCTTTTACGAAAGGCCCCCTCTACAGGTCAAAAGAGGAACCAGCCTTCTCTATTTATAATCTGATAAAAATATCTGTCTTCAGGAATGATGGATGTTTTTCAGTCAAATTCTTTTCGTGGGAATGTTGTACTTTCTCGGAGCTCTTTGCTGGGAAAAGGCATGTGGGACTGGCGCCACCCTGCCAGCAAGAACCAAGGTCTGCCTCTATGTAATTACCTCTCAGGGTTGAGATCCACTATGCCCATAACTAAGATCTTCTTTCCCGGCCTCATTCCTCCTTTGATGTGCCCACTAAAGGGGACGACCTGAAAAAGGACAGGGGATGGGGGGGAGGGGGGGGCATCAGAGCAAGCAACTCCAAATCCTGACAGCCAACAGGGCCCAATCAAGACCGACAGGGCAGGGAGGGGAGGGAGACGTGAATGAAACCATTTACCAGCCGTGGAAAATACACATCCGCTTGCACCGGGGATCCCAAGGAGTTGTTTAAATGCCCATCCTCGATTTTCTAAAGATGAAACAAAAGAGGCACTGAGACAGAGCGACTGCCCCACCAGTGCCTGGGGTAGGCTGCCCGCAGCAATTGGCACAGCCTGCCCATTTCCAGGCCCTCCTGCCTCCTGCGCCCAACAAAAGGCACGGCTGCCCCCCTTTGCCCCTGAACTTGGCAGCCAGGGCTGTGCCCTGCCGGCGTGTCACTCCTGGGTGCCGCCTGCCCTCCCCCAGTGCCCGGCGAGCGGCGGAGGGCCTAGGTAAGGGGCCGAGGGTGGCAGGGGGGCGCCCTCCCTCTGCCTGGCAGCCTGCATGGAGGGAGGGAGGGTGAGGCGGCTGCAGGTGCTGCCGGGGCCGCGCGGGGGGAGCCCGGGGCCGGGCGGCGGC